GTTAATACTTAGTCTCTGAATATTATAATTTTGATGGTAACAAATAATCCCATTTAAATTGAAAAGGAGCCCCAGTGAGATGGGAGATTCAGAGCCTGAGGAACTCTTGACTTGCTTCATTAAGGGCTTTAGCATTGCAGAGAGGGCTGGGCAGAAAGGAAAATAATGTGGTTCGAGGACTGTGAGACAGATCAGTTCACAGGTTAACATGTTTACGGATTTATTAACAGTGAACTGAAATGGCATAATTGTTGTGATGCTTTAAGTTTAACTGGATCATCAAAAAGTATGGGCAGACAAAGGCACATCTAGTTATCTGTCTGGTGCCCTATGGCACAGCACCCTTAACACAATTAGCATTTCTATCCCTAGGCCTAGATTTTCGAAGCTCACTTAGCGCTATGATAGTCGTAAGTTCCATACATTAACATTAACTTACGACTATCTTAGCACTAAGAGAGCTTCGAAAATCAACATCACACCAAAGACCCGGGTTCGAATCCCACAAGGTTACAATGTGTGAAGCCCATTTGTGGTGTCCCCCGCCGTGATGTTGCTGGAATATTGCTAAAATCGGCGTAAAACCAAACTCAGTCAAGAAATATAAGGCCCTGAGTGTCATAACAACTAATATTAGTGGATCCCTTTCAGATCATTATAACCGTTGTTTACTACATATTCATATTTGAAAATCCATATTATGTCATTATGTATGGAAAAGGATATTGATTATTTTACTTTGCAATCAACAGATGTGTTGGATATTTTTTAATAAAAACAGATAAACACAATCCATTGTCATAATGATTCCTTTGTCCATTTTATATTTATGGCTATGTCACAGTCATGTGTTTGAGCAAGGTGAGCATTTCCTAACCCATCTGCACCCGTCACAAACACATGCATGGGCAAGTCAATTGTTGAAGGGGCATGGTGACTTGCATCACATCAAGCTTTCCTGCCACATTAAGCTGATATACTGTGTTGGCATTATGTGAAAAGTGACATAAACCCACTCAATCACTCGAAACTCCTTGTCATAATCTTGATGTGAAAAATATAAGATTGCAAGGCACCCTGGACTGTCAGAGAACAAACAAGAAATAAAGTTTCCACCTTGTAACAAGCTATGAATAAAGTGCTTTCCATACAGCCCATCCAATATAAACATTGTACAAAATGTATTGGCATTGTACCTGAGAACTATTGTTGATGATGTTATTGTCATCGTTGTTGATATTGTTGTTAGATATTGGATAAATGGATATTGCCAGTTCAATCAGCCTCCCTGTTAGTGTAGGGAGTTTTGTGTCAGCCTGTATCAGCTGATGTGACTCTGTCTAAATGTCAGTTAGTGTAGGGAGTTGATCGCTGCATATGTATGTAATACTTTGATGGGCTATGACACTAATGATCACTATGGCATTTGACGCAGATATATGCTTGTTCACAAAATGTTGGATACTAAGAGACCCTGCTTCCAAAAAGCAGTTTGCAGAGATGGGAGTGAGCACAGTGTTCGAAATAGCAACTGGCCCGCTAGCCCGTGGCTAGTAAAAATCCAGTCAGGCCAGGAAATCTCCACAGTCACTGGCCCAACTGGCTATTTTGTAAATACATGTATATCACTCTCTCCGACTTGTTAAGTTATAATACAGTTTTAAATCATGCAAGATTATGGCCTGATAAAAATGTTCATCATATTAGCGGCTTAATGATGAAACCCATGTCTACATTCAAATTTCGAGCCAGTGAATAATTTGTGGGCTTGTAACTTTCAGGCATAGCTAGCTGGAAACTATTTCGCACACTGAGTGAGAAAGTATAGTTTTATGCCGATTTTAAGGCAGGAGACACAGAAATGGGCTTCACATATTGTACCTGTTTGGGAATTGAACCCAGGTCTTCGTCGTGACGAGTGAACGCTTTAACCACTAGGCTACCCCACCAACCATGCAGAGTTGTGAGAAATTCAGTCAAAGGATTGTAGAATCGGTTTCTGTTTGGAAAAACTGAATTTAGTTATCAGTAGCAGACAGGCTGTGACTCTGCTCACTGTTTCAAAGCCTGAGTCCAGTGAAAATTTTATCGGTCCAATAAGCTCAGTCAATATGATATTACTAAAATGTATTTATGCTTATAGCCACATTGGGGTTGGTAGAGTTAATGGCTTTTGACCGAAATGCTGTGAAGATAACATGGGTGCATGAATTTTCTTAATATATGTACATTGAATATAGTTGGTCTGTTTTTGCAGATTTGAAATTCTGAAACAGTGTGAAATAAAGACTTAACAATAATGATAACAGTGTTGGTTCTGAAAATGCTTTCAATCTAGAGCAAGGTTTGTTAGCTTACAACCAAGGTAATTAAACAGATAAAATAATATGCATATGTCTTTAGAGAAGAATCCATGTCAGTTGTGAAGGACAATTCATTATGTTAGTTCACCAAAAGGGAAGACTAACGGTTGTCTGTAACTTTTATTGATTTCAAATACATTTAGCATGTACCATCAGCTATTCCCTTTGATGGTCAAACTGATGGAGACAAAACTATGCATCCTGTTGTAGCCTTGATTGAGTATTAAATATTAATTTACTTCCAAAAGTTGAATGTCTTGATGAACACAGATATGTTTCAGGGTACCGGTATGTTCAAGACATGGGCGAATCAGTGGACTTTCCTCAACTAAAACAATAGGACCATTATATGTTATTTGCTTGTAGCTATTAGTTCTTAAAGATTCATAAATCAGTCTCAAAAAGTGAGTGAGTGGGTTTTTAGTTTTACGCCACTATAAGCAATATTCCAGCAATATCACAGCGGGGGACACTAGAAATGGGCTTCACACATTATACCCATGTGGGGAATCAAACCCGGGTCTTCAGCATGACAAACGCTTTAACCACTGGGCTACCCACCGCCCCAATCTCAAAGAAGATGGAACCTTTGGTTTGAAGGAAGCAATATTGTTGATCTGTGAGATATCACCTTCATTATTTCTACTGGGGGAGGTAAAAAGGAGACAATAAAATTGTTTTTGGTTGTGAGGGAAGAACTAAATGTCTGAGACTTTTCTGAAGAATAAATGGATATATCTCTCATCAGGAATGAAGAATGGTGGGCTTATCAAAGTAGAGAGGTGCATAGTTTGTGACAGAAGAGAGTATGGCATCGTACACTCTTGTCCTTCAGCTCTTGTTTTCGGTGGAAGAATATGGCCTTTTGTGTCTTGAGTGTTCAGAGGATGCATGCTTCTTCTGATGTCCTTGTGGAAAGGGGAGTGAACTTATGTTAGGGTGAGCAGTTACTCGGGGTTTGAAGAGAATGATTTCTGGTTTCTTTATGGAAGAGATTATCAGCATTAGTACTTGTTGGGAAAAGTGTTCAGTACTTGTTGGGAAAAGTGTTCGGTACTTTTGGGGAAAGTGTTCAGTACTTGACGGAAAAGTGTTCAGTACTTGACAGGAAAAGTGTTCAATACTTGTTCAGACAGTGTTCAGTACTTGTTCAGAAAGTGTTTAGTACTTGTTGTAGTTTAGTACTTTAACGTTTTGCTCCTGTTGCAGATTTTTTTAGTTCTTGATTAAAAGATTATTTAACCCAGGGAAAGCAGCACATGGAAAGGCATTTACGTCACATTAAAGATGGTGTTTAGCTCTAATCAAATAATAGCTCTCAAGTAACAGCAGAAAGTGTATATATTTTTTCCTTATAAAAATCATGTTTATTTCATCTAGTGAGAGAGCATGTGCTTCTTCTTTGTAGCAGTGTTAACATTGGTTCGAAAGTTTTTAGGTCTTACTGCACAAGTGTATAAATCTTGTAAAACAGCTACTGTGAGAAGAAATACTCTCCTCAAATCATGTTAGACAATCTCCTTGGAGAGGAAGAAACATACTTCCCGCTTATTGAATAACAACTTTGTAAAGGACACAGCTTAAAGCATAAAACAAGATGTATTTTGCCAGTATACGTATCGCTTGTCAGGTCTCATGTATATTCCACAGTCCCTGGAGATCACACCACTTCATTGCCTGCATGCATAATGCAAGTAGGATCACAACAGCTTTTGGAGCTGTTATGTTGAGTACTTATCTGAAGCTGAATTAGGCCCTGGAAACAGAGGTGAACATTCCAATGATTAATTGGCTCTGCTGTAAAGGAGAAGTTAAGGCAGAAATGTTTGAGCAATTGCCAATTTTTTAAAGATTTTCATATACAGATCTTGTGATTTGTTCGCAGTGGTTTCATGCATCCACATTGAGGTTTCATCTCAGGAACCATTGATGTCCATGAGGGAAACGTGACAAGCTCCTTAAACTGTTATGGCAGCAGTGAAGCAGTTTTGGTTTTTCTTAATATCTACGGACAATGATGAACTGATTGAAAAATGTTTTTGTTATCAATCTTTTTTTTTCTGTACATGTATTTCCAGCAAAATACTTTTAAATTAACCATGACTGATGAGAGTCATGGGTCCACATCTATGATTTAAGTTTAAGGGTCCCAGGATTCAAATATCATTGGATCAAATCTAACGGACCAAGAACCTGTTATATTTCAAACAAAGACTTTACAATCACAGCATGCAAGGACATGTTATACGACATGTTTATTGTTGTCTAAGTCTGGTCTGTACAATCAGGATTGAGTTATTTTGCCTCTGTAATAGACTCCAAAATAGCCTATGACGTAAAACTACTTGAAAACATGGTATCTCCGTCCCTGGTTAACATGAAGTCACACATCCCGATGACCCCGGTATGACAAAGAATAAATGATGTCAGATAGGGCTCTTAAGCTGCCACGTTCCTAAGTAAGTAAGACAATGAAGCGGTGATAGACAACAAGACCTCATAGTGAAATCAATAATAGGCCTACCATCTATGTTGTGCAACGCTTGCATGGCAGTAAGACACTGCTGCAAAAGCAGCCATGTTACAAGACGTATTGATCGCTGTCTTGCCACAATGCAAGGTGCCGTCGTCGCAGGAAGCAGAAACAAATTGCTTCTTTCAATCTGGAGCTGGTGTCTTTGCTGCGTGTGTTCATCTTGTTCACCTTCTGCCTCTGTTCTTCCGGTTGATTGAGTCCGTTTCGTGATGCGTGTTTCTGGTTTCATAAAGGTTGCCCTGTCATGGTCAGATGCACTGACAGTGATTGACCTTATCTTGTCAGGCCAGGTTTTTCTATTGTGGTAGTGTGTGTGAGCTGTGACTTGATTTGGGGAGACTCATTAGCTGGTTGTGGGTAGGGAGGTGTTGTGGAAGGGTGAGGGTCAGCATGGGGTGGGTAGGTGGGATTGTGATGGAGTGAGGGGCAGCAGGGTGTTGGTGGGTGGGATTGTGATAGGTGGGGGGGCAGCAGGGTGTGGGTAGGTGGGATTGTGACAGGGTGAGGGGCAGCAGGCTGTGAATGGGTAGGATTGTGATAGGGTGAGAGGCCGCAGGGGGTGGCTAGGCTGGATTGCGATAGGGTGAGGGGCAGCAGGGTGTGGGTAGGTGGGATTATGATAGGGTGCAAGGCAGCAGGGTGTGGGAAGGTGGGATTGTGATAGTGTACCCGGTTAGCAGCAGTGGGTGGGGCTGGGATTGTGATAGGGTGAGGGGCAGCAGGGTGTGGGTTGGTGGGATTGTGATAGCAGGGTGAGGGGCAGCAGGGTGTGGGTTGGTGGGATTGTGATAGGGTGAGGAATGGGGCAGCAGGGTGTGGGTGGCTGGGATTGTGGGGATGGGTGGGAGGGCAGCAGGGTGTGGGTAGATGGGATTGTGATAGGGTGAGGGGCTGCAGGGGGTGAGATTGTGATAGTGTACAGGTTAGCAGGGTGGGGATGGGTAGGATTGTGATAGGGTGTGGGGAGTGGGATTGTGATAGTGTAACGTTTAGCAGGGTGTGGGGGGGAGGGATTGTGATAGGGTGAGGGTCAGCAGGACTTTTATGGGTGGGATTGTGATAGGGTGAGGAGGGATGGGATTGTGATAGGATGAGGGACAGCAGGGTTGTAGGTGGGATTGAAGTTTGACAGGGTTGAATGTTGACAGGAGGTGCTAGTTTAGTGACAGATCTATAGAATAGAAAATGAATAGGACAAGCCGATTTGTCATTGAGGGTTGTCTTGGGAACATACCTTAGAGTGAGGCTGACTGAAGTTGAGTAGGACTGAGGATGGGTAGAATTGAGTTTTAAGATATTTCAGGATTGGCACCAGTCAGAAGATGTTGGTTTACTATACATTATCTCTAGCTACAGCAGCTTGTATGTTTGTTTGAGGCTGCAATCAGCAATATCAATATTGTCTGTAAATAACTGAGTCTAACACTCCAGTGATTGACATCATGAGCATCGATCTACACAACTGGGATACAATGACATGCATCAGCCAAGTGACTGAGCCTGACAACCCAATCCTGTTAGTCGCCTCTTACGATATGCATGGGGTGCAGAAGACATTCTAACCAAGAATGTTCACAAATGCAGCCTGTATAAGACATGGCACCCATTTCTCAAAACGAACTTAAGTCTGAGTTTTTACTTAGAGTTTTTATTCAAATTTGAGAAAACGCAGGAGAATGCATTTTCCAGAACGAACTGAAATCGATATTACACTCTAACATAGTAGACAATTTGAGTTTGGTGAATAGATTACTTTCTTTGTTTGGGCATTTTTACTTCAAAAATGCTGCTGAGTTAAAAATTCAGCTGTTTCAAATTGTAAAACTCAGGTTGACATTTGAGTAAAAACTTAAAAATCGGGGCCTGGTAGTGGTTAACACCACTTCAACAACCACCCTTTGGTGTTACGCTGTCATATTGCCCCGCTTTCAGTTGGCCGTTACAACACATATTGGTGCTGGGAATCCACTCTGCTGGTAACGCAATGCAATAATTATTCAACAAACACTTCATTGTTTTTTAATTCAGCCATACCTATGGACTATGAAAGAATATTTCAATATTGTTTTTCTTATTGATATCATTAAATTTTGTTATTCATGCATGCTGTACATTGCATACATTTTGTTAGACATTTTATCATTTGATGGGGAACAGGTGGCAGACATTGTTACGGTTATCACAGTGGTGTTGCATTCCTGCCAGTTATAATCAGTGTGTTGTGGGTCCAGATCAGGGATTTCACCCATGTGTTCCTTGGTCTGTGAAGATCTGGGTTAAAATTGGTGTTCAGCAACCCATGTTTGTCCGTACGAGGCGACTGACGGGATTGGATGGTCAGGCTCGCTGACTTGGTTGACACACGTCATTGTATCCCAGTTGCGTAGATTGATGCTCATGCTGTTGATCACTGGATAGTCTGGTCCAGATTCGATTATTTACAGACTGCCGCCATATAGCTTGAATATTGCTGAGTGCAATGTTAAACAACAAACTAACCTAACCAACTAACCTTGGTCAGTGAACACCATGTCATGTCTGTGAACAACACCATGTCTGTGAACATCATGTCATGTCTGTCATGTCATGTCTGTGAACACCATGTCATGTCTGTGAACACTATGTAATGCACCCCATGGGGAATTAGCATCAATCCTTAGCAACTAGTAGAAGCAATGGATGGCTTCTAGCAGTTTTAGATGGGGTCAGACTCAATGACGTGATTGTCTCGAACCCTGTGACATGGATCGATGCTCATGCTGTCGATCACTAAATTATCTGGTTCAGACGTGATTATTTCCAGGCAACTGTTACAAAACAGACGCACATAACAAAACACACACAGTCATACATCCACAACCATATCCTCACTGGTCCCACTGCACAAATATAACAATAAATTCACGGAAGACATGGCCTGTATTGATTCAATGTATATAGGCTATTATCAGATAATATCTCAATATTCATCCAAGGACACCAGTCTCGATAGTAACCTATGTCCCTTTGTACATGCTGAACCATCTGGCCTACAAGTACATCCTGGTATGAGAACCGATTAATAAATTTCCTTCCTGGCTTCAAGCTGTTGACTGAAATCAGTCACAAATATTTGATCAGTATTTGGATGCTAGGCAATATTGAGCAGTGATCTCAGGGATGATATTAAGACCTCAATTGTTTGATTTATTTAAGTGGTCAACAGCATGTTAAAGAGAGCAGTTGTACAAAACAGCCTTATCGCTATATGTTAAATATAATATGTTATATTATGGGAGGGGCGGTGGGGTAGCCTAGTGGTTAAAGTGTTGGCTCGTCACGCCGAAGACCCGTGTTCGAATCCCCACATGGGTACAATGTGTGAAGCCCATTTCTGGTGTCCCCTGCCGTGATGTTGCTGGAATATTGCTAAAAGTAGCGTAAAACCAAAACTCAGTCAGTCAGTCAGTATATTATGGGAGTTACAACCACCTTAGCGCTAAGATCGGTCTTTACAACAGCATCCTGGTGCATTGTAATGATGTCATGTCCATTTGCAGTTTTTTCTATTCTCAGTTTCAGTCTGCAGTTGTCACATGTCACAAACTTCAGCCTAGTTTAATTTCTTTGAGTCTGGTCCATCCATCAAACCTAATATCGACTGAAAATAATGTCACAATAGATTTTCTGTTTGCAAACAATAAAATGTTTGTTACAGACTGCAGTCCGGTTTCATCTGGGATTTAAGTAAGCTGTCTGTATCTTAGGTTGGAGTTGATATGTCAGTTTGTATTGGTGGAAAATGTATTTTTAATACTTTTTCTTAAAATATACCAAAGAGAAATCAGTGGAATAATATGATTTTTGTTTTTAATGTGGTTGAAACTGTCGTGTTAAAATGAAATCTATCAAACTTTTTAAAATATACCTCATCCTTTTGCCGCAAATTATTAGCTGTGGGTCAGTTGTACAAAGCGATCGTAGCCTTAAGGTGATAGTAACTCCCATACTTTAACATAGACTTATGCCATTCATTTGCTAAGGTTATGTTGTACATTCCCCAGCTAGGTCACTGGATCAGTGAATACACAATTTTCATTCCTAGTTTCTTCTTTTAATTATTTCAGAAAATTTACTTTTCACAGTGATAGCATACAGGTCCCTCGTATTCAATAGAAGCCCTATTGATAGTGATATTTTTAAGATAAGCCACACCATCCGCCAAGTGGTGGAGGTAACTGCTGTCAATTATAGTTAAACCAAGCCATTTAAATACTCTCAACAGAAAGAACATCCTAAAGGTTGTCTATTTCAGGACAATCAGATCCAATGGACAACTTCCTGATAGTACTGTTGACATTTACAAGTCTACTCGAGCTCCTCCTTATGTATAGCAATGAGGCTGAGCTTTGTCAATGACGATGATGCAAAGCTTGCCTTTATCAATCCAACCGCAAGCAGTGCAACAAAACCCCAATGAATATGGATCAGCTGAAACCTCTTTACACTGACTCAAAGATTTCCCGATGGTCCAACATTTAGCAAAGGACTGATACTTGATCCAGACTGCGAACAGATTGCTAGCCATTTATAGAACAGTTTTAAGTCATTCTGGGATTTTGATAGGTATCGAGATAAAAGCAAGTGGTATCCAGGCAAAACAATATGTTGCATTGTCATGTATTTTATTTAGCTTGTTTAATTTTTGAGGATTAGGGTACGCTGTTTGCATCTTAAATTTCACTATGTGTTTGATTTTAAAGTTCAGGTTTTAATAGGAAGTTACATCGGATTAGAAAAGTTCAAGTTGTATGTCAGCATGACAGTATCACCTGTGGACTAACGCTTAGTCTCTGAATATATACATAATTTTGATCGTAACAAATAAACCCATTTATATTAAGAAAGTAGCCCCTGGGAGACCAGAGATTCAGAACCTGAGGATATCTAGACTGGCTTCATTTAGGGCTTTAGCATTACAGAGAGGGCTGAGCAGTAGGGAAAATAATGTGGAAATTGTACTTATAGTGTCTAATATTGGATTAATTAGATGATAGAACAAATGGGTGTGTATACTGCCCTGTCGACTGATTGGCTGAAAATCATTGAAAATCAGTGGGGTAGCTAGTGGTTAAAGTGTTCACTTGTCATGCCAAAGGCCCAGGTTCGATTTCCCACATGGGTACAATGCGTGAAGCCCTTTTCATGTGTCCCCATCTGTTATATCACTGGACTATTGCTGAAGGCAGCGTAAAACTAAACTCACTCACTGTTACCTGTTGGCTGAAAAATATACTAAAATATCACATATCAATATTTCCTGGGTTATAAATTACTCAGAATCTGGCAATGAGATTAGACCAGTGCCTAGAAGAGTTATGTGAAACCTTTATGTTAAAAATTAAAGATTTAGGGGTCAGTTCCTTAAAATACCATATGACCAAGCCTCAAGAACCTTGGTTTCTCCTTGATTTGATGCAGTGCTAATGGAGCAAGAAGGATCATGACCAAGAATTTTATGTATTTAAGCCAGTTCTTATCAGTGACCGTTGCAATTCAACATTGCGTTGTTGAACCAGATAGCATGCTATTATCCTTTATACAGCTCTTTATTAGAGCTCTATAATTAGACCATTCACAAGTTACAGACATTGTTTCATCAGCTAACACTGTTGCTACGGCAACAAGCTACAGGAAATTGTTTACTTGTCGACTAGGATAAAATAGACCAGCTAACAATTGTTGAAATAAAGTATTAATGCCGCTAAACTGATAAGCATTGTATATCAGTGGTGTCCAGAACAACGATATTCTGAACGTCAATGTATTGTACAGGATGTTGGACACAATGCTTATTCCATATACACCTTAGAAAGACCGCTATCATATGTAACCATTATATCTATTCCATGTGTTCCATGTGTATATCAATGTCTGTTGTTGTAGATTTTCGTCAGTATCAAGCAGGTGCATGGAGTGCATTGGTAGCTAGGTGTGTCGATTGCATGTATATTTCAGTTGAGTCTATTTATCTACTTTGTGTAATGTACGACTGAAATAGACGTGAATTTCAAGGGAAAATGAATTATCGACATATACACTGTGTAAATAGCACATAGGTCATATTTCAAACACAATGGAATTAATACTACCAACGACTGCCAAACTGTCTTACAACATACTGTTATTGCAATGTCTCAGACATAAGCTCAAATTGTTTTCTAGCACAATATTCCAATGAAACATTATTGATATATTTTTAAAAAAATTTAAAACAATCATTTGTATTTTCAAGAGAGCTTCATGTGTGCATGTATTGATTTTGAAAGTGTGTAAAAACGACAAGACATTTTGTTGATTGAGAATGTGATCGTTCGTACTTTATGTACATTGTGCAGTGCAGAAAATCATTATGAGAAGAACAGTAGTTATTGATTGCAAAGTATGTTAGCAATGTTCCTGGATGGTTTTCAAAGGAAATTTTGCCTTATTTGTATTGTTGAATACATCCTGCACTGTGTTGTTGAGTATTGCAGAATATGGATACTCTTGCCACATATATGACCAGTGTTGTGCCATATTCTCCATGACCAGATGCAAGCTGCTGTTATTAACAGGAAAGAAACACAGATTTGACCAATTTGAATTTAAGTCTGAATAATGAGGCATCCTGAAGGAACAAGGAATAAAAGTGGTTATTTTAAAACAAATGTTTGTAAGTAAACTATATAATTCAAAAACATGTCCAGTCTTCGAACCCAATTTAACATTTCCACTCAATCATATTGCAACACACATTGTTTCATTATGTTTAATAATACTTGATGGTGTTAGTTAGAAGGTGGTATTTATGTCAAGTTTCCATTGTAATATCTGTAGACGCTACAAATTCTCAGGGTATGAAATCTTTGATTTCTTTCTTAATTACCCAATTTTCCACCAGGAAGGGTATATGCAGTTTTTCTTATACTATTCCTCAAAAACCTAATGAAAATCAGTCTTGCGGATTAAATGGCAGTCAGCTTAATTAAAGGAAGAGTTTGCTAATGAAACCAAGGGGGAGCTTCTCTAGGTTTCCTTTAGTAGTATCACATTTCATATTATGTGTGAAAACTTTAAATAGGTTATTCTTATGTAGGTCACAGTTAGTTTTCCTGTTTTCGGTAATAAAATTAGGCATAGATGTTGTAAATCCATCCCTGTTTTGAACAGATAGTATCAGAAGTAAAGATAGCATTATTTTCCCTTCTGCCTTGCCCTTTCTGCAATGTTAAAGCACTAAATGAAGCAAGTCTAGATTTCCTCAGGTTTTGAATTTCACTGGGGTGCCTTTTCAATTTAAAAGAAATTATTTCTTTCGATCAATATTATATATATATTCAGAGACTATGCTTCTATAGTAGAGCGTGTGGTACTTGAGGTTTGCTTAGAGGGTATTTCAACCTAGGTCTAACGTATTTAAACATTGGTTGGTTTGTTCTATAACGCCGCACTGTTTAAAAAGGTTAATAAAATGATGGTACGAATACCGAAAATACCAAATTTTCGGATTGTGTTACGGTATACTGAACTGAAGGCAAAATTAGTTCTACTGATACCACAGTATACCGTTTCACCCTACTGTTTACAGGTCCTTTAGTTCAGTATTTGTTAATGCTAATATCCAAAATAAAATGTGTTTGGTCAGCAAGTTTGGTGGTATGCATTGAATTGTCAGCAAATACTTATTGATCTTCTCAGCTGCCAACATGTTTCCAATATATTTAATCAGCATGCACCATGTGTTACCTTCCCACCTGCTGTCAGCTGCATAATAAGCATGGTTTAGCATTACCATAGTACATTACCATAGTACCTGTCAGCATCTCCTTCCTCATTGGTCCAGCCTCATCTGACGAGGCTTCCGTCACTGATGGTGGGTGACCTCAGAAAGTCAGGTGCTTGATAGTTCCTTAATAGCGAGGTTTTTGAGAGCTCTATCAATAAATTAAGAATTAATATCCTGTTGGCATAGATCAAGTGGAGGTGTTTCTTTGCATTGGTTAAATAAGTCACAGAATAAAGCAATTATGTGGATGAAACTGGTGCCATATTGCTGAATATGCTTTTCATATAAAGACTGATTGTATTGTTAAGTGTGGTGGGGTAGCCTTGTGGATAAAGCATTGCTGGTCATGGAAAAGTACAGGGTTCAAGTTCCCACATGGTTACAGTGTATGAAGCTAGTTTTTGGTGTCCCCTATATGATACAGTGGAATCTGTCAGATCCGGACTCTGTGTAATCCGGTTTTCTCCATAATACGGACTACTGTCTGAGTCCCGGCAAAATTGTTCGTAAGTTATCATTAAGATGCTTTATTGTCCTGTCTTAAGTTGTCTAATCCGGACTGCTTTACAATCCGGACAAATGAGTCGATACTTAGCCAGTCCGTAATAGACAGATTCCACTGTATGGTTGGACTACATTTGTATTACTGAAGCTAGTGTGAGACTTTTTAACTCACCTTGAGGCACATTTCTTAACATTAAGTTATTTCAGTCGTCAGGTTTATGTCCTTGAGGATTCAGCTCCTGCATTACATGTTACAAAGAGCTGGATACCAGATCTTTTGACTTGTTTGTGGCATTGAACCATAGACTAGTGCAAGTGATAAATATCAATTTAAAGTCATACAGGCTTTCTGAAAGTGGAAAGAAAATAAACTCAAACAGAAATATTTGAATTAACAAGTCAGTAAGAAGCGACTAACGGGATCAGGTGTTCAGGCTCGCTGCCTTGGTTGACACATCTCATTGTATCCCAATTGCGTAGATCAATGCTCATGCTGTTGATCACTGGATTGTCTGGTTCAGACTTGATTATTTACAGACTGCCGCCATGTAGCTGGAATATTGCTGATTGCGGTGTTAAACAACAAAACGACCATTATATTTACTGAAAGATGAAATGAAAATGGCTTAATATCCGGCTCAGTATTAAAGTTATGATAACATACAAACAAAACTTATTTGATACCATTAATGAATAATCATAAAGCTATCATTCTGGATAAAATGCGCAATATGAATATATACTACCTGATTATGTTATCCCCATTACTGAATGTTAATATGAAATGAATATATTTGTATGCTCATATAATTGAGAAATGTGTAATTTGAGTAACTGAGATAATGCCTTTATCACCATGAAGCTATTCAGAATTACTTTATTCTCCATAAACATTTAACATTTTTCATTTTCAGCTTCCAAATAACTTTTATTAGCACACTTAAGGCATGTTGTTTTATGATGCAGAGAAAAATGTTACTGAGCCGTTGCAGCAGACTAGATATTCATATTTGAATCAGTCATGGTTGTTTGCACAGGAAACTGTCCTTGTCATCTTGGTACTATGACAGTATTAGATGCCAGTAACATTGTCTCACATTTCATCTGTGCAGTCCCCAAATTGGTGTAGCTGATGCAATCCGCTAACTGCTAAGTCAGGCATATGACATCTCATGGGCCCACTTCCATAAAGTCCACTACTTTAACATAGACTAATAGCCTGTAATGATTACACTAAAAAGATAAATAATCTTGTCTAGTGATGTTTAATTGCAAATTTGACGCCTTTACTGACAAAGTCCTCTTCTTTTGTTCGTTCACTTGACCTGATACGATGTCTCTTACCACCAGAAGAAAGGTTTGACGAAAGCGTAACCTGTAGATAAGTCGAACCCCTTCTACAGATTGCTTTTTTGGTCCTCAAATATCTACAGTAACAAGGGCAGTGAGATTACAAGGCAATCTGAAGTGTGACTATTAGTAACATCGTACATTTACATAGGCTGACATGCCTGAGTGCTGAGTTTACTTAGTTGGGGTGGTGGTTGTACGTTTGTATCATTCTGCTGGAGACAAATTCTTATATTTCCAGCTGTAATATTATTCATCTAAACCTGTTCAAGATGAAGTGTATGATGATTGATATGAACAACTGTAGCATGATCAGTGTAGACAATGTGTTCCTTGAGTGACATGTCAGTCTTTGTATTTCAGACAGACGACAAGTTACGGCGACACCTAGCAGAGGCAATAGCACGTTGCTGTAACTGGGGCAATAATCGGGTAGCGTTTGGTCGAGAAGGGGCAGTGGCACCATTGGTGAAGTACCTCAAGTCACAAGACGAGAACGTCCACAGGTCGACGGCTAGAGCACTCTTCCAGTTATCCAAGAATCCTGACAACTGCATCACAATGCATGAAGCGGGAGTGGTCCAGGTAGGTTCAGTGTCTTCGATTTTAAACGCAGCAGCAATATTCCAGCTACATGATGGTAGTCCGTAACTTATTGAGCCTATAAATCCACTCAGTTGGAGAATGATGACACATCAGTAACAAAGTCGTGATGTCTTTCCTATGACCTTGTCAAAAATCTTGTCAGTCCACTGACACATCGTAGCAAAAGACATTTAAAGATTGCAATTGCTGTTAACCTTCCAATAACATGCCAATGTGGCAGTCTGGACGAGACAATCCAGTGATTGATGTCATAAGCAACAATTTATGATATCGGGGTACAGTGACATAAGTCATAAAGTCAGACCTAGACTAATGCTTAGTCTCTGAATATATATAATTTTGATAGTAACAAACAAGCCCATTTAAATTGAAAAGGAGACCCAGGGAGACCAGAGATTCAGACCTGAACCTGGTGAAATCTAGACTTGCTTCATTTAGGGCTTTAGCATTGCAGAGAGGGATTGGCAGTAGGGAAAATAATGTGGTTCAGGGACTGTGAGACATACTAAGTCAAACCAATCAAATCTTTCAACCAGCATAGGTTGTCAGGACCTTTACCAGCCAGAATTCCTACAGGGATGGTACTTTTATGATTATATGATTATATACCCTGAAGGCATTGTTTATTGGCCATGCTTCATTCATGGTTTACATAGTCTAAACAGATGGAATATTTCTTATGGCAACTTTGAGCAACAGTGAGTGAGCATGGGTTTACACAACATTTCGCAATATTCCAGCAATATCATGGCAATTGACACTAGAAATAGGCTTCACACATTCCAATGTGGTGAATCAAACCCAGGTACTCAGCATGACAAGTGAATGCTCTAACCAATAGGCTGCCCCACCACCCCTTGAGCAACAGTAGAGTATGTATACTGGGTACATAAAGTATGTAGAAAAGCTTAACAAGCCTTGTGTATTTGGAATAATACAAAATTGACTATTTGTATCTCATTCTCTTTACACAGCCCTTGATGAAGATGGTTGGCGCCACTGACGAGGACCTGCAAGAAGCAGCAGCTGGATGCATAGGGAACATACGTCGTCTGGCACTTGCCAATGAAAAGGCCAAATATGCATGATAGGAAAGGACTGCAGCCAAAGATCAATCTCAGTGCTGGAGTTACCACCATAACAGTGTGTTTAGTGGCACCTCCATATGATTCTCCATTTTATTCTGTGGATATAACAATAAATTGATCTATGATGAGAAATATTACAATCGTAACAACTCAGTTGAAAAATATAAGTACCAACTTAAAGGTTATTTTGAGACTTTACTTGTTTCATATTGAAGTTATTCTTGCTCCTTTCATTTGTCATTACATTCCGTCCAGTTTAAAGGAAATATCTGTGTCAGTATGTGATATACAATATGTTATATTACTATGTTCAAACTATATAAACTCTGTGATAGAAAATCTTGTACACTGTTTTTAATAAATTGTTGACATGTTTTGTGTGTTGTTTTGTTTTGTTAACAACAAAACCAGCATCTGAGTACTGTGGATATCTTTATATATAAACTGGCATCCGAGTACCGTGGAAATCACTGTAAACCGGCATTTAAGTACTGAGGAAATCACTATACACTGGCATCCTTGTAGTCTGGATATCACTATAAACCGGCATCCATTTACTCTGGAAATCACTATAATCCGGCATCCGAGTACCGTGGAAATCACTATAAACCGACATCCAAGTACTGTGGAAATCACTATAAACTGGCATCCAGGTACTGTGGAAATCACTATAAACCGACATCCAAGTACTGTGGAAATCACTATAAACTGGCATTCAAGTACTGTGGAAATCACTTAAACCGACATCCAAGTACTGTGGAAATCACTATAAACTGGCATCCAAGTACTGTGGAAATCACTATAAACCGACATCCAAGTACTGTGGAAATCACTATAAACTGACATCCAAGTACTGTGGAAATCACTATAAACTGGCATCCAAGTACTGTGGAAATCACTATAAAATGGCATCCAAGTACTGTGGAAATCACTATAAACCGACATCCGGTGACTGAAGACATTTTCTATTAACAAGCATTATTAAAAGTCCTTGCCAAACTTGGCATGTATGCATGTTGGCACTGTTTTGATCCCAGTGTTTTGTTTTTCTAGCGAGATGATTCCCAGCTAGATATCGTACCAACACTTGTGTGATATGCTCAAGAGTATAGCCGTTCTGATGAACCATTAGATGGAATAAAAGTTGTCAGTGTCACAAAGAAAGCATGTATGTATGTGTTTCTTGCTGGTCCCCCTTTTGTCCGTGTTTCTTGATCCCACACATCAGTTAACCATACTGACCTTCATCCTTAAGGCAGGAGTAGGATTTGTGCAAAAGGTTCCCACCAATATCAACACCTTGTAAACAACAAAAACCCTGTCAACTAATGACTAGTGTTGCGAATTGGTTGAAATCTCACAACTGATGATTGGACTCGTGTTGGGAATTGGTTGAAATCTCACAACTGATGATTGGACTCGTGTTGGGAATTGGTTGAAATCTCACAACTGATGATTGGACTAGTGTTGGGAATTGGTTGAAATCTCACAACTGATGATTGGACTCAACTGATGATTGATGATTGGACTCGTGTTGGGAATTGGTTGAAATCTCACAACTGATGATTGGACTAGTGTTGGGAATTGGTTGAAATCTCACAACTGATGATTGGACTCGTGTTGGGAATTGGTTGAAATCTCACAACTGATGATTGGTTCATTACCAACAAGCACTCATCGAAAAAAAATTGGTTAGCATCATTTTTCAGATTTTTCTGTTCAGATTGTTAATGCAGATTAAGTGTAAAGAAAAACATGTGGTTTTCTGATGTTATAATTGTTTTATACAGAAACAGCCCAAATTTTACATCCAATGTAAAATGATGCAACTTGCTCCTTTAAAGTGATGATTTATATATCATGAAGATAAACTTCCCAGAGTCTTCAAGAAATATTCAGTCATGACTTTTCAGTAACTTGTCAGTTTTCTAAGAATTAAACACTTTTTCAGGTCCTCACACAACTTCTAAGATATGTCAAGCATTTCAAACTTGTGTCTGATTATGAGAAAATGTGTGATTGATTGCTTGGCCGTTTGGTCACAGCGACCAATTTTCAATTATTTCAATTCATTAGAACACCACTACTACTAGCGACATATGTAACAAATTGCATAAATTATATTTGTGCTATTTTCAGGATAACCTAGTGACTTATTTTCAGTGTGTCAGCTCAAAGTGCGAACAGCACCAGGCGGGACTAGCAGTATGTGATGTATCAACAGGCAGCTGATTTGAATTGGCTATTCATCCATATAGTCTATACAAGACATGGATCCATACCTCAAAACAGTTCAAAGTTCCTTGCCATCTAAATAAAAACATAGTACCAATTCACATAAAGATTTTTTATTTCAACATTATACATTTTTGTATGAGCAAGAAAAAAACCCTACCAAGTGACATTTGTACAGAATGAGTATACACAAAATAGAATTTCCAGACAGTAACTAAGACAATGAACCAGAGAAATATACAAATCTATATCGAATTGCTGGAAAACATGGATTATATAAAAATTAACCATGAATAACAATGAAGCAAACCTTGAAACCACAGATTAGATTGAAAGTATTACGAGGTGGTCAACACGACAGCGGAACTCAGAGATCGAGGAGATATATGTAGTGATCCCTCCACAACAATGACTAGTTCATACGCCCTACTGATTTGGTTCATTTTCAGCATTTTTTCTCAAAATCATTGTCCCGTCACGTAAAAGTGATCTGTTATTGCAAGGTTATATGATAACAACTTTAACAAGATTGCTACTTGAACTTCGAAAAAACATTGTAACCATGACAACCAGGACATGCTGCAAAAGTCCCATAAAAATAGATGCAGCAATCAAGGAAATTCATATAAACTCTTAAATGAAGGAGATTTGAGCGTTAATCCCATAACGTGACTAACATGTGATGAGAATTTAAATAACTTAGATCAGATCCCATAGGTTTCATCGCACTCTTTCCAAATGTCTGCAGGGTAATGTGAACATGATTTTTGCGAAAAACATATCACATCTCATCTTAGCCAAGTTAAGTCGGTAGTTGACAATATGTACAGTATAAACAGACAGCAAAATCTAGCCTACACAGACAAACTTTTAGTCAGGACTGAACATACAGCAGACAATTACAAGATGAAAATGGGATTGTTTTGTTGGTCACAAAATGCTGTCTTAGGGATCAAGCCAGGAATCCTCTTCTCTTCATGGATTCTCTCACAAGATGGAGCAATGTTAGAAAAATATTCAGATGTTACAGTCTGCTACAATCCAATCTTTGCCACAGCAACTTGAACAACTTGTTCGTGACATGTTACACGACCTCGTACTCCTTCTTGATAGCCTTTCCTAGACAGCATGCCAAACAGATTCCGAAAACCTGAAATGGACAATGGCATCAGTAAATTTCATGTGCTACACTGGTGTGTCTGACATCAAGGCAATGTTTAGACTGTAATAGTAGACCAACAGCAATATTCCAGCTACATGGCACGGTCTGGAAATTATCAAGTCTGGACCAGACAATCCAGTGATCAACAGCATGAGCATCGATCTCTGTAACTAGGTTACAATGTCATGTCAACCAAGTCAGTGAGCCCGACCACCCAATCCCGTTAGTCTCCTTTTACGACAAGCATGGGTTTCTGAAGACTGTTTCTAACCCAGATCTTCACAGGTCCTCAAGCAAGTGAACCAGGAGGTCAGTTTGACTTGAAATGTGCACCTATGAGATACTACAGATTGATTTGTGGAATTTTGAAGCAAAAAACTCTTTCTCATAAGTTACCTGAACAAAGGCAAGTCCAATTCCGATTCCACCAAGCAAGATAACATTCTTCTTCAGCCAGTCAATGATGCCCTCTTTGCATGACTGAAATGAGACAGCAGTGTTAAACACATGTGGCAGTCAAACATATACCATACAGGGCCCTGTTTCACAAAGCTCTCGTAGCGCTACGACTGTCGTAAGCCAATGTTACAGTATAGGAGGTACGAATACTACGAGAATAGTTAGGAGATCTTAAGCTTACGAGAGCTTTGTGAAACAGGGCCCAGGCCTAGTACAGGCCACAAACGCTCCATAGATTATTTTTAAACAATATGGCAGTTTATTTTGGAAATTAAGATTTTCTTAATGAACTGTTCACGGTGGCTGTATTTTAACACATGGTTGTGACCGTACAGATAACCTGTATATCTTATTTTGAAAGATTTCAACAGTAATTGTTTATAATAATATTCAAAAGAATGTGAGGCACTGAGCTGAAACCGAGGCCTTACATACATTTTACATATTCTTTGTTGTCTTATAACTAATAGTAACATCCAACTTGAAACGCATGACTGCAGTTGTCCCATATCACCTGTACCTTTAAAGAGTGAGTGCGAGAATATGGTTTTACGCCGCTTTTAGCATAATCACCCATATCACCTGTACCTTTAAAGAGTGAGTGCGAGAATATGGTTTTACGCCACTTTTAGCATAATCACCCATATCACCTGTACCTTTAAAGAGTGAGTGCGAGAATATGGTTTTACGCCGCTTTTAGCATAATCACCTGCTCCTTTAATAATAATAATGATAATTCATTTATATAGCGCCTAGTATCCATCTGACTAGTTGCTCACTGGACGCTGTAATCAGAATCTGATTATTATTACCCCAGATAACCCAAGCTGCCTGTTAGGCGCTAGAAGGTTATAGTCATATGACTTTATCCAACCGGGTATCCATTTTCTGCTGTGTGAACAGAGGCAATTTTGAACAAACTCACTTGCCTACGGTGAGACCAATGTATCAAATGTGCTTCGTTGTGGGGCAGGACTGAAGTCCTAGAAACTCTCAGGAGTCGAGCTGCCAAACACGGTCACCCATCCAATGACTGTCTGAGCTCGACGTTGCTTAACTTCAACTGATTTGTAACCTGAGCTCTACACACAGGACCACACACCACCACTTTGGCTTATCTGGTCACGGTTGAACTACTGGCAACACTTACTTTAGTGTAAATGCCGACTGTGTTGGTGAATGACCGATTAGTACACTCCTTGGTACCAATGCTCTTGCAACATGACTCTGGTGGCTCGGTCAGGATTCCTTTCCAACTGGTGTAGTTGTCAGCTCCACAGCATTCAAACTGAAACACAGAATCAATATCAGCTATAGATACAGGGATTTTACTAACTACTGCATAAATCAGGCAATTGAAGGTACTGAGGGGTCCAAGAGATGGAAATGAACATCAGGAGCCATGGCATGGGTATATGAAGGTCAAAGACATGAACAGGAGTGCCCGAGGCATAGCCATAGGTGCCCGAGGCACCAACATGGTCCAAGGCATGATCACGAGGGTCCAAGGCATGATCACCAGGGTCCAAGGCATGATCACGAGGGTCAAGGCATGATCACGAGGGTCAAGGCATGATCACGAGGGTCAAGACATGTGCACGAGGGTCAAGACATGTGCACGAGGGTCCAAGGCATGATCACGAGGGTCAAGACATGTGCACGAGAGTCCAAGACATGATCACGAGGTCCAGGGCATGAGCACGAGGCTCCAAGGCATTAACACGAGGGTCCAAGATGTTCAACAGAAACGTCATGTATGTAACACACAATCAACATATTCATTACCAACTCTTAATATCAATCTCTTATGATCATTTACAATATATAGGTCACCACATGTTATGCCATGCAAAACCCTGACTCTTGTTTGGTTAAAAGCAAAACTAAAAATCTATAGAAATAGAAAAACTTAAGTACACTGAAGGAAAGGACAAGCTTGGTATTTTACACTGCATTATCTCTTGACATTCCACATTTCACTGTTAATCGGCCAATTCTTTCTAAAAGCACTGAATACTTAGAGGGACAGCAGTATAGTTGTCCTGAGTATGATAGCAGTGAACCAACTTCACGACACTATAATTACATTAGTCAATGTAACAGATATAAATACAGTATTTCCAACAAACTTAAAGATTAACTCCTCCAACCAAAGGAAGGTATCTTTATTACAAGCAAGCGAGTTTAGGAAGCTTTCAGCAATATTCCAACAATATCACGACAGGGGGACACCAGAAATGGAATTCACACATCATACCCATGTACAGAAATTGAACCAATGTACAGAAATTGAACCCATGTACAGAAATTGAACCCGTTTTTTCAGTTTGACGAGCACGTTTTAACCACAAGGCTACCAAACCACACCTCTCTATTCTGAAGTAGTAATACAGGCCAATAGCAGATCCAGTTCACATTGCAACTATTGAACCTATCGATTGTTATGTATACTATTAAACATACTATTGATATCTACTGAAAATTTAGCAAGGAGCCATGTTAGGGCTGGTAGATATGTATGTTATCAGCATAAACTGTAAATGACTTATTGCTACAATATCTCTACTATGGTTATAAAACACATCTTACCGACTGCTGGATGAACTTCCATCCCTCCTGCACGTCCGTTGAATTTGGGTAATTGTGTTGAGCCTCTTCCATCTTTTCTACTGCTGTGTTTTCAATCTGGAACAAAACCATTCACGTACACATCTGCATTCCAATTCAGATATAAAAAGAAATCTGTCATGTTGCTAAGCAATTTAACCTACATGCAAGTGTATGGTATTTCACCAACCCCTATCATACAAAGTATTGCCAGTACTCACCCAGCTACTTAAACAGCCATGCTGAATTCATGCTTTTAATGGGTTAAAAAGATGTCTAGTGACTATTTCAACCTTCCTCAATATTCCCTTGCTCTTGGTTTTTCATGACAAGTGGCATGCATGGGGACAAGGGCTGTTAAAATTCACTTGCAGAATTTGTAACCCTAAATTCATGACATGAATTAAATCCGGCTCTCAGTAGATTCTGTTGCAGGCCTAGTCAGAACAACCATGTTTGAGATAAGCACCTGGTACTCTTAACCTGTTTGCACTCAGCAATGTTCCCCATGTTTGTTTGTTAATGCCGCGTTCAACTATATTTCAGCTATGTGGTGGCGGCCTGCAAATAATCAAGTCTGGACCATATAATCCATTGATTAACAGCAATTGAGATATGATGTCGTGTCAACCAAGTCAGTGAGCTGAACCACTTGATCCCATTATCCTACGATAAGCATTGTTGCTGAAGACCAATTCTAACCCAAATCTTCACAAGTAATGTTCCAAATGCAAAAACCCATGGTCTAAATGAAAGTGGCCTGTAATTAATTGCCTTTAGACCAGACAATCAAAAGAGCGATACTTTAAGATGCACTCCACTTAATCAGGCTCCAACGACATGCTATAAACCACCTGGTCATCAGTGACCATCATAAGTGTTAAAATTTCAAGTCTTGTCACCAGTAGTCCCATTCTCTTCCCACAGAGGGTACTCCTGTCATATCTTCCTATGTAACCTCTGTTCTAATACGGCCCTTTCATGGTGTGAGCGTTCAAGACTCGTGATTGGAGAAAATCAGATTTAGTTGTGCAATCAGCGACGTTGTTTCAAAAGTGATCATTCGCAAAGCCTCGGTAATTTCCGTATGCTTCAAGAAAACTAAACCTCTTCCCCTGCGCGATGCGCAAACGTTTCTTCTAGACAGAACTCAGTCATGTTATGGGGGGACCAGTGGCGTCTCCATCGCCCTCGTTGACAACGGACAAGCTAGCCATTAAACGTCTTGTGTGTAATATCAACACAAGTCCCCGGCAGATGGGGGATATTTGTGGCCCCACATTTGCTTGTGTTAGTCAAGTTGAATCTAAGTCGATGTAACACGTGTTTTGATTGGATAGAAAGAAGGGAGATAATTCGTGTTGTGATCTTTTGCCGCTAGGGGATTTTACGAGAACCGGGTAATATGGCCGTATTAGAACAGATGTTCGTAGGAAGATATGACAAGTAACCTCTGTGGGAAGAGAATGCAGTAGTCCATACCTTTGATATGACCAGTAACAACTCAGGCACCCTACAAAAGCATATCTTAGGTAATCATTTCATCAAGTCAACGTATCAAGCAAATAACCAAGAACAGTCTTGTTAAACATTCCACCGGAAGCATATCCAACTGATAAGATACTGCATACCCATGTGTGTTCAATGTTTCACAACCTGACACTGTTATCATGCTTATCATATCATGCTGACTTCAGATTTGTTAAAGAAGAACCATAAACTACTCAGAGCACAATTACTGGCTTTCAGTACAGGCTTTTCCCAATAAATATGCAACTGAACTGTTTGATAGGCTTTCAGTTAAGTTTATATATGACAATGGACACAATTTATGGACAAAATCTTCCATATCATGGAATGCAGACATTTCAGTAAAGATCCTTATACTCTTGTCAAGCTTGTTTTTTCAGAGCACCCAAAATTGACAACATTGTAAGGATCTTAAACTAAAATGTTGCCTTCAGAATTCATAACAAATATTGTTATCCACAAATTGTGTCTGATTTTTGCAACTGTTCAATTTGGTCAAAATACATTCACAATTTCATACTTCAGGCTTAGGAAAGCATGTGATTGAAGAATCTACAAATTATTCTAATAAATAACAAAACACTCTAATCAAACTATCAGAAAGGATGAAGTTGTATCACTCAAAATCAGCTTATGCTTTTCTATTCTTCATTATCACAACATGAGATAGATTTGACCTCATAGACATCATATTTGTTACGTTATATTGTCATGATCATTAATTCTTCAACTTGTATTGTCAAATCATTACACCACTTCAATCCTCCAAAGCACTGACTTACCTGGTCTCTGAGAACGAATCCAGCAATTCCTCCACCAATCTCAAGGATGAAAATAACAACTAACAGACCAGCAAACTGAAAGACAAACAAACGGCTTGTTACAAACGTCACTACATTCACAGAAAATAGGTCTGTGTCCCTGTATCCTGGTGCCTGGATAATAACATCCCAACTAGATTTCTCTGGGTTCTTTACATTTTGGTCAGTTTTTCACATTGCATAGCTGATAGAAGACTCCAGTTTACACAAATCAATTATTTGTTCATTGCTCACATGATAATATACATCCATGCAACCATGGTAACAGAAAACGAGTGATTGAGTGAGTGAGTACAGTGAGAATGAGACTTAATCAATCTGAATGTGCAATCATTCAGGTTTATCTATGATATTTTCATGTTGACTTCACAGACATTAGTGAGTTTAGTTTTACGCCGCTTTTAGCAATATACCAGCAATATCATGTCGGGACACCAGAAAAGGGCTTCACAAATTGTACCCATGTTGGGACTCAGCTTGATGAGCGACTGCTTTAACCACCAGGCTACCCCACTGCCCCACACAAGCATTGCAGGGGCCCTAGTGCTTCATGCACAAAAATTTGAAATCCTTCATTTTATATCATTAGGGCAATGACCTTCATTTTATATCATTAGGGCAATGACAAAGACACAGAGTAAATTTCCGCATACACGCCAGTGGGATAGCCAAGTGGTTAAAGCAATTTTGTTCACCACGCTTAACACCCGGGTTCGATTCCCCACCTGGGTACAATGAGTGATGCCCATTTCTGGTCACCTCAGCTATAATATTGCTGGATTATTGCTGAAAATGGAGTTAAACCATACTCACTCACCCTCAACATACCCCCTTAACTACCCCTCCCATACTACAAAAGTGAGTTCTTCATATCCACAGTGCCTTGTCATTCTACCCAAGACGTTAAACAACATTCAATTTTTTTATATTGCTCTACTAAATCTGTCATATCGATTAACTATAGTAACACAGATGATTTTTGAGCAGTATACTTTTATTTCACAACATAGGGGCACTAAGAAGAAAGTCCTCGTCTTTCATGCTTTAAAGGGGCAGTGTCATAGCCAAGTGGTTAAAGCATCTGCTCAGGTTTGATTCCCCACATGGATACAATGTGTGAAGCCCATTTCTTGTGGTTCCCCACTGTAATGTTGCTAAAAGCGGTTTAAAACCTTACTCACGTTATAATTCTGAGGAAGCTTTTGATAAACACTATCGTAGCTGGCTATCGATAGAGATAAACGAGATCGATACTTGGTAACAAAATACCGATCAATTATCGATAATTATCGCAGACTAACTTTTAGCAAAAATGCTCATATTTCACATCATTGGTGTGTGATGACATGTTTTTGCAGGGATTATTAACAGGGTCATGAACATAATTTAGAAGCAGACCATGAATAAAGTCCCAACTTTGTATATCGTGTGAAAAAATAAAAAAATTCTATCACAAAAGTTAATATATGATATTATCAATCGCACAATTTTCATACCGATAACCAGTAAAAGAAATCCTATCAACAATATTTCCGGTTATCGATCATTAGCCAGCCCTACTAAGCCGACCCCTAACTCCAAAGTAACAGCCCACAGCAGTGCCATACTTACGGTCATAATACAACAGTGGTTCTCCCTGCACGCTCCCAGACATCCAAAGGCGGCAATGAGGAAGATAATGACGCCAACAAATATGAGCAGGATACCAGGTCCATTGTATTGACTGCCGAAAATGGAGGCTACATCGGTCAGCTGTGTCTGGACATAGGCGCCGGCACCAATCAGCGCAAAACCAACAATCTGAAATCAGGAAAAACGAGGATAGAAATTTGGGTTCTTAGGGACTGCAAGAGGGTCTCATGAACTTGTGTACATATACAAATGTAACTGTAACAAGTTACAGCCATATTCAACCTCGGTAAGCCACCTCACCATGATATGGTTGGTTGTTTAAAGCTACTCAACAATATTCCAGCTATATGGCAGCAGTCATATATAATCGACTCTGGACCAGACAATCCAGTGATCAGCATCATGACCATCTATCTACGCAATTGGCATACAATGACACGTGTCAACCAATTCAGCGAGTCTGATCACCCAATCCTGTTAGTCGCCTCTTAGGACAAGCATGGCTGGCTGAAGACCAATTCTAACCCCAATCTTCACGGGTACCACAAGATGGTCAACGGGCATGCCTCTCATATGAATTGCAATGTTCATTTTATGTATGTTTGTATGTTCAATCTGTTCAGTTTTCAGGTGAAAAGTATATATATATATCACCCGTGTTACGTGTTGTGTACTTTACTAAGAAAGTGTAACTTGTTACATGTAACAGAAAAAAAGAAGAAGTTTGTAATTTTTGTGGGGGTAAATTCATTTGACATCATAGAACACTATCACAGAAGTTGATATCCGTAAATTTTCACCCTTTGTCATTGTGCCCGTTTTGTCTCCGATGTAAGCATAATTTATATTAATATAGTTAATGTCTTGTTTGTTGTTTCAACACTACACTCGACAGTTATTCCAGCTGTATGGCAGCAGTCTGAATAATCGAGTCTGGACCAGACAATCCAGTGGTGAACAGAATGAGCATCGATCTACACAATTGTAATACGATGACATGTGTCAACCAAATCTGGAAGCCTGACCACTTTATCCCATCGGTTGCCTCTTACAACAAGCATGGGTCACTGAAGACCAATTTTAACCCGGATCTTCCCAGGTCTATAATTAATACATCCATTAGTACATTAAGCAATGTTGTATGTACAAAATTCCAAATTAGCACTAGTACTCAATTACTTCTGCTGAAGATAGACAAAACACCCAGGAAATTACTCCTCATGCACATGCATGCATTTGGACTTTGGAGGCAACAATTTTGAACTATTTCTCAAAGCCTCAAGTTTATTCTAATTAGAACTGAATGTAGCTGACAGAATGTAAACAGGAAACAGCATGGCTGTCAAGTAGGACTAGCTACAATATGAGGACTTTCTATGTCTATGTGGCAATGACCTAATTTATATCCCATTTCTTTTGACTGCCTCCGTGGTGTAGTGGTTAGAGCGTCCGCCCAGAGTGTGGAAGGTCGCGGGTTCGATCCCCGACCGCGTCATACCAAAAGACGTTAAAATATGGTACTTGTTGGTCCCTGCCTGGCGCTCGGCATTAATGGGTACAACAAGGACTGGTCAGTTCGGAGTCAGTATAATGTGTCTGAGTGGGGTATTCATGCTTCACTGTGGCATGGTATCTCAGTGGGCTAGCACTATAAAACCAGCTTCAGTCTGGGCTAGTACAAGCAGCCGCACATACACATACACACGCATGCACGTCGTCATATGAGCGAAATATTCTCAAGCACGTTAAACCCAATTACACCACCACCACCCATTTCTTTTAACATGCATCATAATTGGGGGAACCTTAACACAAGCATTGTAATCAGCCCTATAAAATCAACCCAGGTGTGTGTAGTACAAATAATCCTGAGCATTTGATGTAATTCCAATCTGATCAATATTGATTGTTGCAAGATGTTTCACTGATCATATCTTGTTACATCTGGAGAATATAACAGCAGTTATTGTAAACCGTTACCATATTTTAAACCTTGAATAAACAAGCACCTTGTTATAGCTGTGGGTATCAATGAAACTGTAAAATTGTGTAACAGTAGATTTGGGTTGAAAATTGGTGAAATTTGTTGTAGCTTGTAGATTAAAATTTTGTTGTAATGACTAGATTAAAATTCTTTGATTGTTAATTCTCACTAACAACCTAGCTGAGACTTCAAAATCAGAGAGCTCCAAGACTTCAACCATCCACAAACCTTGACCAAGACTATTCACATATCCCATCAGACATAATCCTTCTGTGTTTTTACACAACTAGCTTCATTTGCAAGCAACTGATTGACCTTAGGTCTGCTGCTTTGTATGCATTACTGGCTTCTCTAGTCTATTGTAAGAACACTACTTCATATCTCTACTGGCTGGCAAACAGTTATCACCAATTCATCAATATCATATGTGCGCAGTTCCGGTCAATTACAATTTCGGTAATTTTCCCACGATATTTGACAATAATAAAGGACAGCAAAAAGGAAAAATTCTTCACAGTAAGCAACATAAGAGAAAAATTGAAGATAATGTTATGAACCCTATAATTTTTGTTAACTTAGTCGGGGGGACGTGCACACGATCTATATAATAGCAAGTTCAATTTCACCGAAGTCATTAATTGTTTCATTCCGTATCAATCTAATGTCAAAAAGACTCAACTAGTCACACAATCAATTATTCAAGGTTACTTTATGATAAAAATATATATTATTTCCCGAATGACATGAGAAATTATGGCGATGATACCCTTCCGCTGCGTTATATAAAAACACAATTGGCAGCAGTGAACGGACTGGACACACGAGTGAATAGTTAATTAAGTATCGTAATTAAAACTGTTTTATTAATTTGACGAACGACAGAGTAATTTTGGAAATACCGCTAAAATATGGCGATATCTGTTCGGCAGCTGGTATAATATATGCCTCCTTCACTACCCTATACATCACTTGCTTGCCAATGGTGTTAAAATAAACACCGAAATGTCGTTCCTCATTGAAAAAAGGGAAGCTGTCCACCCTATATCACACCCTTACATAGACTTCGACGAATATCACGTAAAATAATCAAAAGTGTTCACCCCTCCCAAACACACATGACACATCTTTAACACACTTTCATCCACCCCAAAATTGAATGACAACTATGAAAGACAGAATCAAGGGTTCAGCTCAACATCAAACTTTTTAGGGTAATAGAAACCATCATACTATACTTGCATAAAGCTAAGAGCCACTGCATTCATGTAACAAGGAAGTTTAGATTACACCGCATAAATTTTGGAAAGATTTCCGCCCGTAACCCCGTTTATAACAGGAGATACTTCGCCCACAGGCAGAAATAATAAAGACGTATATGGGTTAAATGGCCTAGAGTGTGGGGGTGCTCGAGGGCTGCTGCATTAGTAGTAATGAAAATGCACCTGCAGCTACCGCTGCCCTAGTATCTACCGTTACTAGGAAACCCTTGCCATGGCGCTACCGCTGCCAGGCACCGAATGTAAAAGAATATTGAGCCAGGGCAACTACCGTTGCCAAGCCAACTGTTTGCTGTAAAGCAAACCCTAGTCACCTGCTGTAAAGCAGAGTGGATATACCTGATCCTTGCTGTAAAGCAGAGTGGATATACCTGATCCTTGCTGTAAAGCAGAGTGGATATACCTGATCCTTGCTGTAAAGCAGAGTGGATATACCTGATCCTTGCTGTAAAGCAGAGTGGATATACCTGAGAAAGCGGTAAAGCAGAGTAGATATACCTGATCCTTGTAAAGCAGAAGACCCTAATGTGCATGCATGGCGATAGGCATGAAAGCTACGCGGCATAGCGTCAGCGGAGGTAAAATTGATGACGTTAGGGCATGGCGTAGCATGTCTGCCTGTGGAAGAGGAAGCGGAGGTATATGATATAATTAAAGTAATAAATGCTAATATTTTTAATCATTATATGCCCAAGAATATTCGCCTATGTTTTTTTATAAACAGCCTGTACCTAAACCTAAACCCTAAAATCTAACCCTAATCCCTCGAAATAATCCTAATAAATAGAATACATTTCAAGCAGGGGTTACGGGCAGAACTCTTACCTAAATTTTGCTATCAAACATTGTATGTATATTATCGTAATAATAAAATGTCATTGTTGGGGATGAATATGGTCCCATTTGGCTAGTCTACGTAAACTCTGGGCAAGTTAGGCTAAGTAAATACTGCCACAACCTACAAGTGCTACGCACAGTAACCGCACCTAACACTGACGTTGTTAATTTAACCCCAAATTCATAAGTTAAAATTTAACCCGTCAACTCGTCAATAAAATTAAAAACTTGGTCTCAGTTTAGATTTAAAATGATGCCTTGTAAACAATCGCCATTCCCTGTGTTCTAAAAATATGTTTTGTGTCGATAGGCCCGCCTCATCGACACCCTCACTGCCACATCAACAGGATAATCAGCTTCACTATTTTATTTCCTTCAGAATGGTATGTCGTATTATATTTCCTTGAATTCACTATGAAAGCTGCCGCTAAAATCTGTTTGCTCCGGGATACAATGCATTAGTCTAAAATCTGGCCATAAAATTCCAAGCCGTCAAATAAAATCGAAATTCTTTCACCGGTCAAGGGTCACCCCGTTGCTTATTTATATTCTAAATATTTGGAGTATCGTTGGCAATGTCATCCTTTCAGCACCGTTTAATAAGGATAATTTACAACCTTAATTTAAAATTAATCAAAGATGTCTAGATCTATTTTAAAACGTCCAAGGCCACATTATGATGTAAACAGTGCCACTGGTAACGACTGCGCTGCGAATTCAAACTGGCTTCACAAATTCTAACATATTCGAGTCTTCAATGTCAAACTTGCTGTACTTACCACAAAATGATGTTGAACACCATAAGAAGAACTTTCACAATTTTCATTCCACCCTCCATGGCTGGTCTTAGATGTTTTCCTATCTATAAATTAAAACAAGGATCTCCTTCCTTTCCTCCTCTGTCCGTCGCGCCACCAAGCACCTGACTGCCTGGAATATTTTCCTCCGCGCAGACAAAGTAATCCCGAGATAGCCTGGAAAATAAGTCCTCCGAAAGTCAGAATGTTCGGCGCTATTTGTGCAGTGGCAATTTATCCGAAATGGTTTCTATTGAAATATGCACATGCACGATGATGTTTCTCCACTCGAGACTGACAGATATCGGAAAATTCGAGAACTTATACATAATGAAATGCTCACGTGGTCCGCACGTCACACACTGTGTGTCATAGTCACATGAGCTGAATGACAGTGTGTTCATAGTCACTGGATTACAACATACTTTGACAATTGACTGAAACTTTGTCGTCCCAGTTCTGTTGGGAAAATGGGATGATCTGAAAGACAGCGATGACAATAACAAAGACGTTAATCACATGTATATGTAGATAAATGACTGACTGACTGAGGTTGTTTTTTTTCGCCGCTTTTAGCAATATTCCAGCAATATCACGGCGGGGGACACCAGAAATGGGCTTCACTCATTGTACCCATGTGGGGATTCGAACCCGGGTCTTCGGCGTGACGAGCCAACGCTTTAACCACTAGACTACCCCACCGCCCCGTAGATAAATGAATTTTTACAACGATTGGATTGTAGCCATGCCTCTATGATTTTATTTTTAAACGGTTTTAATGTGTCTCGATACGTATTGCCCCTTTTTCTCTTGATGGCAGTGTTTGTACTTTCGTCCAGAGGCAATATATGGTCTCTGATAATAACGTTCCACTATGCCTAATCTATTTATAACATATTACACATACACCACACCAAGCCGTCCATTATGCCTTTCAGCGCATGCTTAATTTATTTATATCAGTAAGTCATATAAACGGGACCAGTGACGTCACAGGCTGTTGACTTTTCAAAGAGCCATACAGACTGCCTGTATTTTGTACCACTCATTGTTGTCATGAGATAAGCATGAAAAGGTTCCTTTCGTTGTTAAGTAGAATCTGTTCACGTGAGGAAGCCCCTAGGTGGTCCCGTTAAGATTCTGATTCGGGTTTGAATTGGTCTTCAGTAACCCGTGCTTGTCGTAAGAGGCGGCTAATGGGATCGGGTGGTCAGGCTCGCTATCTTGGTTGACACATGTTTGTCGTCGTATCCCAATTGCGTTCTAGATAACGATGCACATGCTGTTGATCACTGGATTGTCGTGTCCAGACTCGATTATTTTTAATACCGCCGCCATATAGCTGGAATATTGCTGATCGTGTGCTGCGTCAAACAACTAACCAAACCAAACACAGACAAGGTAGGCTACATCATCAGTCATTTATAAATAAAAGGTTTTAATGCGGATAGGTTGAGAAATTAAACTAATTTAAAGTTAGTTGAGTTAGTATGTTTTTACTCCGCTTTTAGCAAAATTCCAGCAATAATACGGCTGGGGACACCAGAAAAGGGCTTCACAAACTAATTTAATATCCAAGGAACGCTCTAAATGATGGTCCGAAAGCAAGAGTGAGTGGGTATTGTTTAACGCTGCACCAGCAATTTTGCAGCTATTCTTGGAGAAATATGAAAGAGGCAATTAATCTACTTTTATAAAGGGGAAATCTTTCTGGTATGGTACCCAACCCAAAGGTGGGTGAGTTGCTGCTGACGTGAGTTGAACATTGAGATCCAGATCCTGACACTTAATTAGGGGACGCAACGCTGTAGACCTTCCGTCCACCGCCCAAACGTGCAGTGCAGGTGAGTGAGTTTAGTTTTACGCCGCTTTAGCAATATTCCAGCAATATCACGGTGGGAGGCACCAGAAATGGACTTCACACATTTTACCCATGTGGGGAATCAAACCCTTGTCTTAGGCGTGACGAGCCAACGCTTTCATCACTTGGCTTCCCCACCGCCCCTAAATACAATGCAGCTGAACAAGGTATAGGGCAATACCAACTGTGCCCGACTCTTGCGTGCTACAGATAAGGTGATCGCAATGTAACATTTCCGCCCTTCACGCAGCCATTCAGAAGCCAATGATAAGCAGTACAAAACTGTGTATGCATATTACCCACGGACTAAAATTACTATTGATTGGCGTGAAACGTCCCGACACTTCCGCGCAGGTGATATATTACACGTAACACATTCCGAAACACATTAAAAAAATACATTTTGAGAAAATCAAACAACGGATTTGCTCAAAATATTAAAAAATCATTTCTGCACATCAGTCGCAATCCTCGAAATTTTGCTCAATCATACAACCTGGTTTTCTTAAGCGTGCACGAATAACGCGAGATTCTCGTGCAATAGCCTGCACATGGTTAAACGCAACGCTAAATGGTGAAAAGGACTATAGCTCTGAAATTTCTCAACCGTGACTGTGTCATCCCCGAGCCTGCTGACAATGTGTGTGAATAAACTGTAACAACACAACGACCAGCGAAATTGGATGAAATTTATGGCTGAAATGTAACTGTTCAAAGCTGCGCATAGCTAGAGTGGCAGATTTTCCTGTTTCTAAACCGACTTTAGAATATGATATGAAACTCACTGGAAACCCGTCATCTCAATCACTTAAGCACCCGCCCATCCAGTCAATCATGCACCCATATCCACTCACTGGAAACCCGTCATCTCAATCACTTAAGCACCCGCCCATCCAGTCAATCACTAAAGCACCCACCTATCCACTCACTTAAGCACCCATCCATCCACTCAATCACTTAAGCACCCATCCCTCCACTCAATCGCTTAAGCAGTCACTCAATCACGTAAGCACCCACCTATCCGCTCAATCACTTAAGCACCCACCCATCCACTCAATCACGTAAGCACCCATCCATATACTCAATCACTTAGGCACCCACCCATCCACTCAATCACTTAAGCACCCACCCATCCACTCAATCACGTAAGCACCCATCCACTCAATCATGTAAGCACCTACCCATCCACTCAATCACGTAAGCACCTACCCATCCACTCAATCACTTAAGCACCTACCCATCCACTAAATCGCTGAACCACTCGCTCATGGAAGCATTTACTCACTCGCCCGGGTGGGATCTGGTGGTCAGGCTCGCTGGCTTGGTTGACACATATGTCATCGGTTCCCAATTGCGCAGATCGATGCTCATGCTATTGATCACTTGATTGTCTGGTCCAGACTCGATTTATTACAGACTGCCGCCATATATTGCTGAGTGCGGCGTAAACCTAAACTCACTCAATCACTCACTCAACCACTTACTCTCTAAATCATTCATTCATCTATATTAACTCAGTTACTCAGTCTCTCTACCGCTAAGTCGTTCACTCAACCACTCACTCAGATATTCACTCACTCAACCGCTCATTCACCCAGCCGCAAACTCACACATTCCTTCAACAAATCACTCATTCACACACACACGCACGCACACACATAACACCGACCCACGCAGTGTGGATAAACACACACCTCAAGACCCACGCACTGTGGATAAACAGCCCTCTAGATCCACCTTTAGGTACAACGTCATCACGAACTCGTCGATATAGCACAGCTTTATCTCCTTGAGTACGGACTCTTGCCAACCAGAATACAGTTGTACCTTGTATCGCTGACCCATATATACCGCTATGAAGGACTTGCAGTACGGTGTTTAATGTTATCAACAATGCAGCCTGTAAAAGCAGGCACTGTTAACTCAGTGAAATGATTAATGGACGGATACAAGCACACTGCTTTCAACGTAATTGTATACATGTATATGTATATTGGAAACTACGCATGTAAGATGTTAGCGGATAAAACAATTCGGCGAGTGGCCTATTATTTTTCGCTGTATATTGAGGTACCTTATTGAAGTGGGGAGATATAAATCAATCTGTGTGTGTCACCGGCGGGAACAGGTTGGAATTTGTCCCCAGATTTTACGTGACTTATTAATTAACTGGGGCGGTGGGGTAGCCTAGTGGTTAAAGCGTTGGCTCGTCACGCCGAAGACCCGGGTTCGAATCCCCACATGGGTACAATGTGTGAAGCCCATTTTTGGTGTTCCCCGCCGTGATGTTGCTGGAATATTGCTAAAAGCGGCGTAAAACCAAACTCAGTCAGTCAGTCAGTATTAATTAACTGGATGGTCCTCCACAGCGCCTTGGTGTATATTGCGGGTTATCGCAACACGATGTTAATCGTTATTCATAATATCGATCACTTGATTGTCTGGTCCAGAGACGACTATTTACAGGGTCCCGCCATATCGTTGGGATACTAAGAAATATAACGATATAGCTTGCTGATATATTGTTGAGTGGGCCATTAAACAACAACAAAAGTTTGCGTGTGCGTGTGCGTGCATGTATGTGGGTGCGTGTGCGTGCGTGCGAGAGTGTGTGGACATGAATACATTAAAGTGTTTACATGTGATATATAATGTGGTCATATGAAGAGTTTTTGTTTCGGTGTCTTGTTGCATGTTTCAATTAATGAACACATGAAAAACCAGTTTATTAAACATTTACGCTGTTTTTAATGAACGTTTCAAAACATCGTCTACATATTCGTGCTCACACTATCGCCCACTAGTTGCCCCATGTTATCTGTTTGTTTGTTGTTTAACGCCGCACTATTCAAGCTTTATGGCGGCGAGATGTAAATAAGTTTGGACCAGACAATCCAGTGATCAACAGCATGAGCATCGATCTATCCAGCTGGAATACGATGACATGTGTCAACTAAGTCAGTGAGCCTGACCAACGATCCCGTTAGTCGCCTGTTACGACAAGTATGGGTTGCTGAAAATTAACCCGGATCTTTACTTGTATTGCTATCTGTAAAATATTCTGACTTCTTTTGGATTAGAGGAGAATCTAAGCTAGTAAGGTTACAAACGGCTGTGATGGGGATTGTTTGGGCACAATGTATGCCATTGTTGCTCACAATGCGAGTCATTGCTTATGCTGTCAACCACCGGTTGAACATGACACTCAATTTACCGCCACACCTTTTGCTGAGATTTTCTTCGAACGGCGTAAAATAACCTTCACCTTCACGATGCACCCTAAAACTCTCTCAATACACCAGATGGTATCAGGTCTGCGGGGACATGTGTATTCTGTCGAACCTATATCGGACCTAGCCCGCTGTCTCTCATGACGTAGAGGATACACAAGTACACGTGGTGAACACACTGCTATTAATCTCAATCCGGTTTCCTGGGTGTAATGTGCGATGTCATGTCGA